CCCTAAACCCTAAACCAAGCCAAACTAAAGAAGAGTTTATCAAACTGGTGTGGCCACTACGGGATCCTTTCAGGCTACACGGAGAGTTCGAGGCAAAAAGGACTCAAGCCCGTTGAAGTTGCGTGGACCTCTCTGTGATCCGCTTGTAGCTGCCCATGCCTCATGGCTGATGCATGCCTTTGCCACCTCTGTTTTTGGATGGCAGTGTCCTTATGGAACATGGCCCAAATCCTGACGAGGCACGAGGAACGCATCATCAAAACCATCCAAAAAATACGCAGGACCAACTATCAAGTTGTCGAGGGCTGTTACGAAAAGGGTCTGACTACACAGAACCGCGACAGAAGGACCCGCGCAATGCAGAGGGCCAATACCATCAGGAAATGCCATGCTGCGACCGTCCTGACCCTTAGCTACCCGAGTTGCAGCCTTTACTACTAAAAGAACACCTCCACATTGGACCCATAGGAGCTATAGTCTAAACTCCTAGTATCCCTCTTAATATCCCCTGGAGTAGTTCCAGATATATTTCCCTGTATACCCCCCCTTAAGGAGTTTAGACTCTAGCTCAAATGTCTGGAACCCTTGAAGCAGAAAGGGACAAATCATGTGTCGTTCTCACTCCAAGCCTGAAGACTTCCAGGCAAAACCCTTCGATTTTTAGGGTTTAGGGCTATAGTCCCCCTTGAGTAAGTAGAATATGGCTTTGGGTACATTAAATAGCACCCCCATAGACCCCATATTCTATCTACTTAAGGGGGACTATACTCCTGAAACCTTCAGCCTCAACTACTACAGCACCTGAAGCCCTGAACCCCAAACTCCCTGCAACAGAATCGCCCCTTGCCTGGCGGATGCTGGCCATCTGCGGGCCACAGTTGTTAAGCTCTCTCCTTAGATGGGGGCCTTGCCAAATATGCTGCCCCTAGCAACCCTGGGGACGTTGAGATTATCAGGTGGATTGTCTTCAGGTAGTTTAAGTCTGCAGGGCTTTGTACGGGGCTTCTTTTGGGCGTTCTCGCTTGAGCTTTAGGCTTTAAGGTTTAGGCTTTAAGTTTTAGGGTCTACCTGGACCCTGGAT